CAGTCACGTGACCGCGCGCTTCCGGGGCGAGGTGGGGGTGTGGTTTGGAGTCGCAGCGGGGCAGCGGACAGTGGCGCGCGGCGCGTTCCAAGGCGGGAGCTGGGCACGCTCAGCCCGGGGCCTGCGGAGAGCGCTGCGGAGCAGCAGAACTGTTCCCTTCGGGGGTCCCCAGGGCGCTGTAGCCGCGCTGGCGTTCCTCTTTGCTCTGGGTGTTCGTGCATCACTGGCTGGGTCCCTTGTGTCTACATGGCAAGCGTTGATTGAGGGCGCTGGTGAGCGCTCCAAAGCTAACCAAGGGGAGCCAGTGACATTACCCACAAGTACAAGCAGTTACATCACCTCCTCGGCCCTTCGGCACCACGGGTCTAAAAGCACAGAGATGAAAACACACCTAGGTCCTGACCCTGCAAACCTCTTTGCATAAGTGGGCTGAAGTGGAGGGATCCATCAGTGCAGTGCCATTTACAGGACTGGGGCCCTAAATCAGTGGTTTTCAAAAATGTGGTCTGTGGACCCCTGGGGGGTCTGCAGACTATGCCTAAAATAAGATTTCCAAAGGGGTCTGCACTTCCATTTGAAATTTTGTAGGGGCCTGCACATGAAAAAAGGCTGAGAACCAGTGCCCTGGATACATTTGACATACTAGGTGCAATTAAAAAGTAAATGCTGTATTGTAGGATGATGCTACTGTGCGATTGCCTAGAATATTTTTGTTATAGTATTTTTATTGCTCTTTGTTTTAGGATATTTATCTCAATCCCCATTGTATTAGGTACCATTACTTAAACTTAGAAGTACATCAGTTCCCTCAAGGAAGAAAAACTAAATTATCATCTTTTTTCCTCACAGATTAAAGTTCCTTTCTTAAGAGGAATTAAATCTACATTGTTTGTTTCCTCAAGCGTGCAGCTGGGGCCACAACTCAGAGATGAGTTTTATACCCCAAGAGTGGAGAAACTGCTGGATTTCAAGTGACCTGGAGTTTGTGCAAGTCAGTTTCTCTACTGAGATTAGTATCCTCACAACCTGGAACCTAAACTGTCCGTTTCATCATCCCTGTTAAATGCAACTGGCATAGTGGGATGTGCAATCAGATAATCATAAATATGGGTTATTTATACTGTACCAGGAAACGTTAACTTTTCAGTGGCGTGCACTGTAGATCGTATAGATAGATTAGATTATAAAATTATTTTGATATTATTTTTTGAAAAACAGATATTTGTGCCACTTATCCAAACATTAGATTGTCATTTGCTGCAATATTTCTGAACTATATTGTCTGTGCTAATATAGGTCCTGATCCTGAAAGTGGATGAGTGTGGGCACCCCATTATACCAAGAGAGAGCTCGATTGAAGTCAGTATGGACTCCTGCACAGACCTCTTTGCAGAATTAGTGCTTAAGGATATAGTTTCCTTGGGGCTGTGCCTTGTGACTTCCACTACGTTATGCACAACACTGAGCACTATTAAGACTCCATATATATTAATAACAATTAGTACAAAGGTAACCAAAATAGACATAGCTATTGAAGTGTAATCTGGTTAGCGCAAAGGACAGAGATCCAAGACTCCTAAATTTCTGGCTCTGCTGCTGATTCTTTTTGGGAACTTGGAAACGTCTGTGTTTCTTGAAAAAGTCACTTAATCTTTCTGTACATTATTATACCCATCTTTATAATCCTAACAGAGAAGAATCTAGAGGCCCTGGTGGATGCTCTTTCATCCCAATTAGGCAGAATTCCCAACTAACAGTAGACCTCTTTTCAGAAGAAATGCCGCTGTCTGAGTCGCTGTAGAGCTCTACTGAGCATGGCATACTAAATCAGCCCATGGAATTGAGCAGAGGCAATATCTACACTAGGGTAGAAACAGAACCTATTGCCTGCTCCATGTCAGTGCCCTCAATAGCTAAGAGATGCTCATCAGGAATAGTTGGCTTGGAAGTTGCAAGCTCACCATTGGGGGAGGCAGTGATGATGACTGAGATGTATTGCAGCTACAGAGGGACTGAAAGCTGTTTTCAGAGGAGCACACAGAATCAGGATAAGATTGAAACACAAAAATCTAAGAACTACCAAGGCAATCCAAAAGCAACCAAGTTGAGTGTAATTACTATCCTTATTAAGCAGCCATCGTCATTAAATATTATTAGGCTTAAATCAGTTCCCTTGGAGACTTTCTGATTAATTGGATTACCCAATTAAGCAGCCCAAATTAAAAGGAAGGTATTGTCATAAAATTCTTAATGGTCTCACTTTTTTTCCTATGGAGCTGGTCTGGATATGCAATACACCATTCAAAAGCGGCTTTGGCATTTCAAATTGATCAAGTGGTGACCAGCTGCTATGAACTTCAGATCAGGTAGATTCAATATTGAGAAGGTGCACTGTTTGTTTCACAAAACCTATACACAGTTTTACTTTGCAGCAGCATGTGGTATTTAGCCTACGGCGTTTTCTGTGGAAGGTGACTTGTAAAGGGGAAAAAACGTGGCCTGTTTTGCTACTGAAAGAGGCTTAAAGAAAGGCCAATCCTGCATATATTTACACACATACCTAGCTTTACACTCCAAGTAGCTCCATTGACTGCAACAGGACTACTTACATATTTAAAGTTAAGCACATGCTGAAGTGTTTGCAGGACCAGGGAAAAGTCTGAACAATTACCTAATTTTTCATATTAGAAATACCAAATATTGAGTTCTGGTTTTTGTTGGAAAAATTCCCCCAGGACTAGAGCAATTATAACATCTTAGGAAACAGAAACCTGAGTACATTAAGAGCTGAAGCAATTTTTAGACATACATACAGTTTAAAACTCAAGGCCAAATTCTATGCTTGAGTAACTTCATTGAAACCAAGGGAATTATGCCAGGAGAGAATCTGGCTTCTGTGCTATTTGTTTCTGTTAACACATATTTAATTCAAATAATTGAAAAACAATTGGGCAAAATGTGTTGTTTGAAACAGATTAAAATATCCCTGTACGTCTAACTGAGGGCTGATAAATCTCTTAGCCAGTTCTACAGTCCTCCAAAGAGTTGTCCGGCAAACACAGGAGGTCAAGTCTTGTTATTCCTAATATACCACAACAAGCAAGGGTGAACATCCTTTTATGCCTTCTTTATATGGTAAAGAGAAACAAAAAGTAGTAACAAGCCTTCCCCTCCTCCTCCTTTTTTTAATCACATGTCCGGTTTTCTTCAGTAAAGCCCTTTATGATATAAGGATGGGACGGTTTGGGAGACAGGGGACTGACAATTGGGGGATGAAGTTTTTCATCTCTAGGTCACTAGTTCAAAGCTAGTTAATAGTGACTGGAAAAGGAAATTATGTATTTATTCGCTTAGATTTAAAATAAAAGATTCCTACCCAAGTTCTAGTCACCCTAGCACATCATTAAGAACACATTGAAATCTCCCCTCCCCCGCAGCATTAAAGTAGCCATTTCACAAGAACTCAGCCAGCCAGACACCTATATTCCAGCTTTTCACCATTGTGGGAAGCACACCCTCAGCCTTCTCCAAAACCCTTCCCAAACAGGTGTCTTTGACAGTGTGCCCAGAAGGTCACTGAATCTGGGTTATTTCAGACTATGCAGGTGTGAGGGTTTGAGAGCCATTACAAGGAAGACCCTGCTAGCTGTCCAGTCTCTGGAGATCCAGCTTGGGCAACCCAGCTGACTGCAGTTGTGATAGTATGGCTTAGGAGAGAGGTGATCCCTCAAGTAAGTCAGTTGCAGGCCATTTATGGCTTCATAGGTCGTAACCAACACCTTAAAGTCCTCCCAGAGACCAATAGGCAGCCAGTGCCCATCCTGGAGCACTGGTGTCATGTTGCCAGCAAAATGCCTCATTCAACAAATGAGCCCCTGCATTCTACACCAGCCTCAGTCTCTGAATGGTTTAAGGAGTAGCCTCATGTAGAGTTCATTGCAATAGGATAACTGGGGCAAGGTCCACATCCAAGAGGAAAGTTCACAGTCTCCTAGCCGGCTGCAGGTGGTAAAAAGCTGACTTGGTCACTGCTCTGTTATCCTCTGATAGCTATTTAGTAGCCCGTATAAAATGAGTTAATCACTGGTACAAAAACCTAAATTGCCATCCCTTTTATTAGTAGTCAGCTCACATTGCTAGGACTGCATGGCCCTCGATTGAACCTCCCCTCTCCCTCCTACAGGTGGCCCCTCCAGGCCCCCTTGGTATGTATGTGTGTGGGGAGGGAGGGGAGATAGGGAACACATGCACTGCTTATGCCAGAGCTGTACCTGTTCTGTGGCTAGAGGATTCCCCTTTTTCATGCTTGCCATTCTGGCAGCTTTCCCCGGCACTAAGGAAAAAAAGCCATTGTAGTTCCCAGTTCCTTAAAATTCTATATTCCTCTTCAAAAACATGCACTTCACAATGGCACACAAAATCCTTGGTTTCTAAGGACAGCCACAAAGAGAAGGGCCATTGTCCCACTCCTGGGTGGGTGAGAGATGAACGAGTCTGTGGGCGATCTCACACTATACATTCACAGACTTGACAAGGTTCTTTAATCTTTAGCTGCTCAAGCACCAGGAAGCTGGAGTTGTGAATCTTTTCCTTGACCTTGTAGAGCGGTGGTTCTGAAACTTTTGTACTGGTGACCCCTTTCAAATAGCAAGCCTGAGTCTGACCCCCCCTTATAAATTAAAAACACTTTTTAATATATTTAACACCATTATAAATGCTGGATGTAAAGCAGGGTTTGGGGTGGAGGGTGACAGCTCACGACTCTCCATGTAATAACCTTGTGACCTCCTGAGGGGTCCCGACCCCCAATTTGAAAACTCACTCCTGTTGTAGAGGCCCGGTCTTGTTCTCCCTCCCTTTCCGCCCCCTTTTGAGATCTAACACATTCTAAATAATGCTATTGAATTTCTCCACATGGGTTACAGCACTTGCTCAAAACAATGTACTACTCAGTCAGTGAGTCTAAAGGGAGACCTTAGAAGTGGGACTCAAATATTAGTCCTGTAACCAAAGGACTAATAATTGACAAAGATACAGGCTACCTATCTTGTCAGATTAATGCAAACTAAAATAGACAGGCTTTCAGGAAATGCAGCCTCTTCATTAGGCTCTGGGAAACTGAGTGAGGGACAAGAATTAGAAAGTAAGGAGAAGGTGTGTAGGAAAGTGTAGCTGTCCCACCGGGCTGTTTGCAAACAGTGGGCTCTGCTACACTACCATCTAAGTCTATGACAAAATGGAATTGCCTTTGACTTCAATAGGAGCACGATGGGCCCCAGCAATTGTAAACAGGTGATGCTGAGTTCTAATTGTCACCTATTAACAATGGTACAGCTGCAGGCTGGTGGTTATAAATGCTGTGGGAGCAGCAGTAGTTGGTAGTTTCTCACTAAGAATGGGCTTTGCTAGAAAATATTTGGTAACTGTGTGAGGGTCTCCTGCTTTTACAGCTGTATGTAACATAGTACTTTCTCTTAGAAATGTAGTGCCAAGGAGCTAGTGGGAGTCACTATATCTGGTTTATCCAGTAGTATAATGTGATTTGTGTCTCTGTTGTGGGAAGTGGATGGAATACTTAGTAACTCTTTTTGGTGGAGGGGGGGGATACTCTCTATGCGTCATCCTGATCTTATTTACGCAGGCTTAATATCACAATAACACTTAATTTGGGTTATTCCTGATTTACACCAGTGAGAGTAGGACCAGGATTTATTTTACAAAGATTGAACTAAGCTCTGAATGGATTCTTTGGGGGGAGGGTAATTCCAAGTTATTTTCCCTTACGTAGTATAGTCAAATGACTGTGATGCTCAGTCTAAACTCCTGTATATGTGGGGTTAAGGCTACAAATCTGATATCTGAAATAATGACTCTCCTGTGGAGGAAATAGGGTGGTTATTTACAATCAATCTTGTAAAAAACACTCCATTTCCCCTCTTACTGATCAAATGGGCCGGTATCAATTGTATTCATTCTGTGTCTTTCTAGCCACAATGGATGACTGGGATGAGAGTGATGAACTTATCCAGAAACTGGATTTTTCCAGCTGCGCTGAAGAGAATGAGATGGAAGAGGACAGTAGTATACAAGAAGAGGCTCCCCAAAGTTCAAGCCCCCAGAAGAGCTGGGATTTTCAGAGTTGGAGAGTTAACAGTCCTCTTGCAGTAACCCCCAAAAGAAAAGTCGGTGATGTGTCTCTGACTCGTACTAAAACATGGATGAGTCCCACTGTGGACTCTGCTTCATCCTTGAGAAAGACTACTGGTCCTGCCTGGGAATGTCCTGGGACTCCACTGCATTACGTCACCTGGAGAAAACTGCAGCTGTGTGACACCCCGCACACTCCCAAGGCAAGGAAATGTCTCTCTGCCCATTTGAAAATATGTTGTATTGCAAGAATTACATTATACAGGTGATGAGCAGGGGCTACTGCCTACCATTTGGAACGTGCTGTTTTGACTGCCACCTTATTAGTTCTCCCCCCTGCCTCATTCCCAGTTTGTATGTTTTACCCACTTTCTCATCATAAACCTAGACTGAGCACTGGAAGGCAGGGGCTAGTTCTGTTTGTGAACCACAAATATCTCTTCCCTGGAACAAACATTTGGGGAGTGTCTAGTCCAGCATTAACAAGCATGCTTAACTACCTTGAGTTAACTGGCAATCAATTAGCTTGGCTAAAAGACATCCCTTACCCTTAGATGTATCCTTAGTGTTGAGAGCCCCTTAAGCATTCTGTGTATTCAGGCAGCGCCCACTTAAAACAAAGCTTAAGCTCAGTACGAAGAAATGCTCTTTATAGTGGTCAGTATTTAGAACACTCTACCATTGAGGTAGATTAATTGTTCTTAGTAGGATTCAAGGAGAAAACAGACCATTATTTGGACATACATAGTACTTGGAAGCAAGATGGTATAGTTGATTACTTATTCCTGGTTTCCAGATTGTTCTTTGGATCGTTAAATGGAACTTGCTGTTAGCAAGAGCTGGCTAGAAAAAGGGAAAATTTCATGAAATGTAATGGTATTTTCCATTCATTGTCAAATCTGAAACACCTCTAACCAGTTTCTTCTGTCTAGCTACGCTGATACTTCTGTGCACAAAACTGAACTGTTCATCAAAGCTGGGGTTGGGTAGGAATCATTCTCATGGCAAACTAGTTTTGTATGAGCCCTTAGGGGGTGGAGTTGGGAGAGGAATGTGGTGGAAGCACTAATCGCCTTCCTCTGGCTCACTGATGAAAGATACTTGTGTGCAATAGATACAAAGTTAAGTTTCTTGGAGAAGGTCATTGATTAATTTTGGTCCTTATTTTTTCTTCCCATAGAAGTTCCTGAATGAGTCCCCTATAGGGTGATGTATCAATAAAACAGACAGTGCTTCCCTCCTGTACTGGTGGAGACCTGGAACTCACTGTGTCCTCACAGGGCTTCTCTGCATTGTTGTAAATGCACAGATGTCCCTTTGCATCCTATGACTCACAAAGGCCATCACACCCAGTATTTCTTTCTCAATTGACTGGCAACTAGGTTGCTTCTTTGGTTGAATGGAGCACAGCAGACCCAATTCATAGAATATCAGGGTTGGAAGGGACCTGAAGAGGTCATCTAGTCCAACCCCCTGCTCGAAGCAGGACCAATCCCCAACTAAATCATACCAGCCAGGGCTTTGCCAAGCCTGACCTTAAAAACCTCTAAGGAAGGAGATTCCTTTAATGCTTCTTGATGCAGTTTTTTTTTTGTGGGGGGAGGGGGGAGATAGGATTTGGATTTCCACCTGGCCAGTCGATCCAGGGACTAATATACATCAAAGGGCTTTTGCTTTTGGATCTCCTTGTATCTCTCATGGATTATGGGTCTGGTGAGGAACAGATGTCATACGACTAATCGTGCAGATAGCAGTTTAGTTTGCCCATCCACTGGATGATGTTCTGGTGTCCCACTTCTGACTTGCAACATTCCCTTACTGCAATTTGGACACACACTACTCCTTGGAGCATTAGAGAACTGGAATAGGAGCTTCCTTAGGCTTAACTTGAGAGCTTGGCATAATGAATCTTCTGATCAAGTGTTAGATGTTGGCAAACCACAGAATCTTAAACAGTCTGACTAAAATCTCTTTCCTCAATTGCACAAGTTTATTTTCTTGTTTTGTGATGACATCCTGCTAGTTCTCCAAGAAGTCCTTTAGCCTAAAATAGGGGAATCAAGACCTGCTTTTAATGTAATAAATGCTGAAATGTTAAAATTTTCTTTTCTCTACATATCATAAATAAATAAAAGCCAGTTCCTTAGTATTCTAGGATGCATTTTGTCAGGTCCTGCTGACTTGAAGACCTCTAATCTGTCTAAGTAACTCTTACCTTGCTCTTTCCCTATTTTAACCTCAAATCAGACTCCATTTACACTGATGATCACTACATTAATCATCTGAGCACACCTCGCCTTTTTGGTGAAAACTGAAACAGCCCAGTGTTAAATGTCCTTTTTATCACTGTTTTGTTATTGCCTTCCCCTCCTCAATGAATAATGGGCCTACTCTGTCCTTGGTCCTCGGCTTGTTTCTAATGTATTGGTAAAATATTTACTTGTTACCCTTTGTCCTTAGATAATTTAATTGTGTTTTGTGCATTGGCTTTTCTAATTTTGTCCCTAGATGCTGTTGGGTTTTTATATTTATCCTTTGTAATGTGAGCTAGTTTCTGCTTTTTTATGACTTTTTGCATTTCAGGTCACTGAAGATCTCCTGATTAAGCCAGGATGGTCTCTTAACCATACTTCTGTCTTCCCTACGCATTGGGATAGTTTGCTCTTGTCATCTCAGCATGCTACAAGGAGTGCATCTATAGTGCTGCTGGGAGGTATAATTCCCAGCCCTTGTAGACTTAGCTGTACTAACTTTGCTCCAGCAGAATGCCTAAAAATAGCAATGCGGCCACCTGGCCATGGAGGCATAGGTGTCAGCTCAGGCTAGCTGGCAGGGTACAACCTGAGATCCTAAGCATGTATCTGGGCTGCTGCCGGTACCACAGAGGCCATGCTACCATTTCAAGAAGTTGTCTTGAGCAGAGTTTGTGCATGTATGTCTATCTAGCCTGGGTAGACATACTCTTCCCAGCTGCAGTGTACATGCACCTTAGCTGGCCACACAAAGGTAGGGATGAATCTCCTGTGTGAAGCTAGAAACTTGTTTTCATCTGTATGGAAAGCACCATAACAATGACGATTAATGAGTCCTCAGAAAGGTGATTCAATGCACTTTGTCAGTAAAACCTTAACTAAAAACAAACAAACCCCGTCACCTTCTAGTAACCAGGCTTTTATCTAGAGGAGCAGCAAGCTACACAGACTCAGTCTTGAGTGATTGTCTTATTGCATTTTGCCTTGTAAAATCTCATGGGCTAAACTTAAAGATCTCAATCTGTCTAACTTATCAAAGAGAAGATTGAGACATGACTTGACTAGAATGAATCTTCATGGAGAGAAAATATAGATACTAAAAGTCCCTTTTCAGAAGCGGGGTAAAGATGTTAGCGGACAGCAAAACCACCTTTTGGTGGATCAGACCCTGAAGACAAACTGGCAAAGTATTGCTGTCTGCCCTGAACAAAACAGTAGCTAGAGGACACTTTTAACTCACTTTGTTTTTATTTTTAAATCCAGAGTCTCTTAACAAAGACTGCTTTTCCTTCAACCGTGGGAAAATTCCCCTCCAAAGGTCCCCGGCACTTGAGATTTACTCCTGGTGCTGATCCAGATGATTCTTCCCAGGCTTCGCTGGTCAACATTAACCCATTTACACCAGAGTCATATCGACAGATGCTCTTCCCTCCCAATGGCAAAAGGAAAGCTAGAGGAGAGCTGTAAGTGTACTGCGGCTAAACAGAGAAGGGGGAGGAAGGGAGTGAATTTTTTAAAAGAAACTTAAGCAATGATGGAAGAATTTGGTACATCTTCCTCCTCGCTCTCCCAGGATGAAACAACTAAACTCAGTGGAGTGGAATCAGGCATGCAGAGCAAACACTACTGGGAGGTGGGGCTGGTAAACCAGAAATGTGAAATAAAGAACTATCCTGGCTTCCTTTTATCAGGACTATGAATGTAATATAGCCTGTGCTTACAATATTTGTATCTAGGACTATAACCAACAGATGAGAACAGAATTCAAACTGTGGTGGGAGTGGGCCCCACCTTTCTCTCTCCCAAGTCGTGAAGGGTGGGTCTAGCATAGCTCCCCATATGCACTAGGAAGGCTGGTGTATGTTCAGAAAACATTGTACATGAATGGCTCTGAACTGCATATTCTTGACCCCTTCAAAAAGTCAGGTTCAGATCGGGTTGTGACCTAATCTATAATACATAGTGAAACCTGATTATAGCAAGATTCTGCTCACTTCCGAAGGTCCCAAACTGCATTTAGACATGCTCTGAGCAGGGTGTTCTATAAACATAGTGGCAAAACCCCTGGTGCCTGTTCCTCCCTAGTGATCCCACAACTTTCACCTCTGTTAGAGCTGCATAGAGAGTGTAGTGGTGGCAAGCTATCAAATTAACTAGTGTGGATGCCACATGGAAGTTGGAATATGTAGACTTTCTAAACTGGAACATGAATTTCCCAGCTCATGATCGCAGCTTTCTTTGGCCTAATCCAAAGAAACTCACTGTGTACCAATCCTCTGGAAGAGCCTTATAAATATTTTACCAGACTTGAGTAGTTTTGAAGCTGCTCTTTAAAAATGTAAACATGTGAAACCTAAGTCTTGTGACTGCTGCAATAGGATAGTGTGTGTCCAGGCTCACTTGTGGCTAAATCTCATTTTAGGGGAGATCCCACTCTAAGCGGGGGCAAGGTGGAGCAGGGGCTGCCAGCCAAGGTGAGTGTTTCTGCATAGTTGCCAAGTACAGAAAAAATTTCCCCTTACTATATCTGTACTAGTATTAATAATGTACGCTATTGTGTAACTCAAGAATGCTCTGAGGAAAAATTATATACTCAAGTTTGAATAGCAGAGAATCCAGGAAGAACCAAATATGGTACATTAATCGATGTCATTAGACTGAAAGTAGTTTACTTGATTTGACAAACTTACATTTGGCTAGATCTGAAACTCTTACAACTAGTTCTAGAATTCTCACTGGTCCTGGCCAACATCCATTCTATAAATGATCATGTGATGGCCAGGAATTCATGTTCCTTCATGGGGAAAGTAATAAGACTACTGTAAATATAGACCAGCTCTTGCTATCTCAACATGGCTGGAAAGAGTAATTCTGCTGCTACCCCTATTAAATAGTGTTCAGTAAGCTAGTAACCTCAAATTTCCAAATATTAGTCTGTAGACTTAAGAAAATATTTATTGTAACTTTACAGTGAAAGGTGTTAGCAGCTAACCATTCAGACTGGTGGTTCTGTTGCAACAGCTGACATCATGAACCCTTGAAATAGGGTAGTACATTCCTAAATGCTGCTTAGGTGGTTAATCTCAGTCACCACCTTCAGCAGGAAAGAGAATCTTGTACTTGGTCATGGCAAGTAAGTGAAAGGGACGTTCTTCTCAAAAGATTTTGAATAGTACTTGTGTCTCACATTATCGGCAGCTCACAGCACTTCGCTGACAATTAAGCCTGAAGTCACTTCACAAGGATGAAGACTGACATAACTGTATTACAGATTAGTAAACTGCTACAGAGCAGCTAAGTAGTAGTGACTCTGTGGCAGGGCTGAGAAGAGTCAGGATTCCACTCACTGCTAAATGCTTCTCTTTTTATCATTAAGTATAAGCAGAGGCTGTGCCTACACTAAGAGTGCTTTACTGGTATAGGAATCCAGCACAATACTGGCAAAGCTATGTTCTGTACCCTATAGTAAAACCATCCCCCATGAGCAAAACAAACACATTTTACTGGTACAAGTGCATCATGTTAGGGGCTTCTGCTAGCACAGTGATGATGGTCAGGGATGGCCCCCCTGGCATGGCTGTGCTGGCAGAAATCTGTAGTGAAGACATTGGCATCCAATGTGATCCTCTATGGCTAACTACACCGGCTGAGTGCATCTGACTTCACTGGAGCTGAACCAATTTCCACCACCTGAGAATCTGGCCCCTATTCTGTTTTAGGATCTAATCTTTATAATCAAAAGCTTGTCACTTCATCTGAATTAATCTTGGATTTACTCAATATTTTTGCTTTTATTTATTACAACAGACATTAGTTTTTCCCTATGTGACAGCTATCCAAACAAATTGAGCTGCTTTAAAAATCAAACCAAGCCAGAATCATTTAAGGGAGTGTTAAAGAAAAACTCAGTATCTCCATTCAACTAGGTAAAAATCTCAGCTCCTTTACCTTGGAGTCTCTCCCTACTCCACAGACGATAAGTGAATCAATGCAGCTACAAGTATATTCATCATGAAAGCAGTCTAGCAGTGCTTGGGTTGTGCTAAGAAATGGAGAGGTGGTGCTCCCTGCCTGTGAGGGCCAGTGATGCAGCTTAACTTTGACTTGTGTCTTGGAATTTCTCTTGCAAAGCAGAACAGCAGTATAACACTTATGACTATGACAAACAATGGAGATATCCAGGATCATTATGGACTACCATGCTCATTAAAAGGAAGCCTCTTACCACTTAGCAATAGATTTGGTTTGACACCAATCAGACAAAACCACTTGTCTAGGGTGAATAAAAGGCCCACTGTTAAGTGTGAGCATGTTAGCTTGGTGCTTAGATTGGTGTATCTTCAGTACTTTTTTAAAGCCTTTGCAGACACTTTTTAAAAAATGTTTGCAGTGAGTTGGGTATGTGTACTGCTTTTTATGCTTAATAGTATCTGGGAGCTGCATTTTAACTGTCCTGTGCGGCACCTCTTCCACTTATGATCACAAACATCTGAGGGAACCTCAGCCATTGCATATGTGGGAAGAAAATGTGCAATGTGAGTCTTATTTTGGGGGGAGAAAAAAATTCATGGACTACTCTTGCTCTTTATTTCATATCCCATCTTCACTAATCCCCTGCTTCCTTGGCTATACTGTCCAGTTGTCTTGTATCTTTCCCTTCTCCCTTGGACATTCCTCTAGTGATGGTGGCAGATAACTCCTGGTTCCTCCCTTCCTCTTGTGTATCAGTGGCTACTAACATAGGGACACAGGTTGACTATTTTCCAGCTGTTTTCCTAGGCTCTTAATTGTGTGAAGAATGACCTGGACAGGTGTAGTAGCTGGAAACTTGGACAGGCAGCATTGTGACTACCTCACTTGTCACAGACCTTCAGCAAATACTGTGAAGAATATTGAAAGCTTCTAGACCACAGTCTGAACTGCTGCAGTATTGCACCTACTGTATGCAAATATAGAACAACTATGATGAAATAACTTGTGCATAGCTTGGAGGGCATGCTAGCCAGGATACCAAACTGTCTTCTAAATTCAAAACATGCATTAGTTCTTACTTAAACCACAGCTGGACATGTGGAGCTCCTGTCTAAACTTTTAAAACACTGCAGACTGGTAGACCCTGCCCACCTAACCCTATGCTTCTGAATTTGCCTTCTTCCGATAACTGATATGTTCTGACCAGCCCTCCAGTGGTCTTCCATCTGGAAATTCCTTTTCTGGAGGACAAGAACTAACAGTTTGGTGGTACAGGTCTCCTTCCACCCAATCAAATATCTGTAACCAATTCCCATGTAACTCTACTGTAGTTAATGATTGGAGTCCGATAACATTACCTTCTGCTGCTGCTCCACATCCAGGATGGTTATCTTGGCTGTGGGTCACAACTACCTACAGGTGGATAGCTGAAGTAGCCTCGAGGTCTATGCCATGGGACCATTTATGCACAGTTAGCTTGGGCAAACACCGTGCCCAATTCCTGACCTGCATTAACTAATTGCAGTGCTAGTGAGTCATGGGGGAGAGGGAATTCTTAGCTACTTTCTGCTTAGTCTGTCAGGTCATCATCAAAGGCCCTGGAACTGCAAACTGGTGATGGAAGGAGGCCATTACAGAGAAGCAGGCAGGAGCTCTGTGTCTGAATGGTTGAGAGTACACAAAAATGAAGAGGGAGCTGACTGGAGACTTTACATGTTAGTTTTATAGGGTCCGCCCTGCACCATTTAAGACCACCCTTGGTATATGATGAGTCCTTAACTTTTCTTTCTCTTGTTGCTTTGCTTTGTCTAATCCCCTAGAGATTTCTCTTGAGAGAGAGCAACATGGTTTCCCGCTACAAGAAGGAATTCCTGGAGCTAGAAAAAATTGGGGTAGGAGAATTTGGCTCTGTCTACAAGTGTATCAAACGTCTAGATGGATGTGTGTATGCTATCAAGCGCTCGAAGAGGCCTCTGGCAGGATCCTCAGATGAGTGAGTGTACGATCTGGAAACTACAGTGGTAAAAACGCTGCTCTGTGTCAGTTGGGGTATTTTTTTTTAAATGGAATGCTAGGCATATCTTTGAGACATGTATTTCTACATTACTCACTGCTCCTCCATCCCTCTAAGGATCTTTAAAGCATATCTTTGGAAACTTGTAACTAACACCAGATTCCAGGACAAACCTTGGAAGGAGGAGTAGACTAAAACAGTGGGGGTGTTCATATTCATAGCTCGTAGAAATGTAAGGCGAGGCCATATGGACTGACTTGCCACCTCACTTTGTATCTTGGATTTCATGAGAACATAATGGCAATACTGGTTCAGACCAATGGTCCATCCAGCCCTGTACCCTGTCGCCAACAGTGGCTGGTGCCAAAGGCTTAAGAGGGAATGAACAGAACAGGGCAATTGATCAAGTGATCCATCCCCGTCATCCAGTCCCAGCTTCTGGCAGTCTGAAGTTAGGGGCATCATGAACATGGGGTTATGTCTCTGACCATCTTGGCTAATAACCATTGAATGACTTATTCTCCATGAATTTACCTAATTCTTTTTTGAACCGAGTTATACTTTTGGCCTTCACAGAGTTCCACAGGTGGATTTGTGTAATGTGTGAAGTAATTCTTCATTAGTTTTAAACCTGAGACCTATTAATTTCATTGGGTGATCCCTGGTTCTTGTTAGTGAATAAGGAAGTGTTGTTTACCCCTTCACATCTGCACTATTCATGATTTTATATACCTCTACCATATTTCCCCTCAGTCATGTCTTTTCTAAGCTGAACAGTTCCAGTCTTCTTAATCTCTCCATATATAAACTGTTCCATACCCCCCTAATCATTTTTGTTGCCCTTCTCTGTACTTTTTCCAATTCTAATGTACTTTTGTGAGATGGGGGCATCCAGAACTGCTTGCAGCATTCAAGGTGTGGGCATACCTTGGATTTATATAGTGGCATTATGATCTATTTTGTTTTATCTATCACTTTCCTAGTGGTTCCTAATATTCTGTTAGCTTTTTTGACAGCTGCTGCACATTGGACAGATGTCTTCAAAGAACTATCCACAATGACTCCAATAACTCTTTTCAGTGGTAACAGCAAATTTAGACCCCATTTTGTATGTATACTTGGGATTGTCTTCCTAGGTGCATTACTTTGCACTTATCAAGACTGAATTTCATCTGCCACTTGGTTACCCAGTCACCCAGTTTTGTAAGATCCTTTTAACTTTTCACAATTATCTTTGGAATTAACTATCTTGAGTAGTTGTCGGCAGACTTTGCCACCTCACTGTTCACCCCCTTTTCCAGAACATTTATGAATGTTGACCAGCACTAATCCCAGTACAAATCCTTGGGGAACCCCACTATTTACCTCTATCCACTGTGAAAACTGACTGTTCATTCCTATCTTTTAACCAATTAGTGATCGAGAGGATGTTCCCTCTTATCCCATGACTGCCTACTTTGCTTAAAAGCCTTTGGTGAGGGACCTTGTCAAAGGTTTTCTGAAAGTCCAAGTACACTATAGCCACTGGATCACCCTTGTCCACATGTTTGACCACCTTCCACCAAATCTAATATATTGAGGCATGATTACCATTAACAGAAATCACATTGATTCTTCCCCCAACATATTGTGTTCATCTGTGTCTGATAATTCTGTTCTTCACTATAGGTTTAAACCAATTTGCCTGGTACTGAAGTGAGGCTCACTGGCCTGTAATTGCCAGAATTGCCTCTGGAACCTCTTTTACAAATTGGCGTTACATTCCCTATCTACCACTTTACTGACTGGTGGATAATCTCCAATCCCATGCAACTATCTGGCAAACCCCACTGTATCTGTTACTAATATTACTTTGTGAAACCTAGAGAGCATGTGAAATTGATACTCAAAGATGATTTGGGTCTCTTTGCTCATGTTATACTTGTTGGGCTAAAAGGAGCTTCCTATGTAGTTCTGGAAATGCCACTCTTCCTCGGTTTATTAGGGGTTGTTGAAACAAAGGCCATGTCTTCGCTCCTGGCAGAAGAGGGAGTAATTTCACAAGAATGCACCCGTTCTTACAGCTTTGGGTGCAGGCAGGTGGATCAGTGTCCTTCTGTCACTCCATGGTAGACTAGACAACTGAAGTAACAAATATCAGATGCTTCATCCATTGGACATCACCCTGTTGTGCTGAGGCTCCACAAGTAGAACTCTGAAGTTGCTGCTAGTTTTTGGGTTAACTCACTAACTGCCAACCTTGCTTTAGGTCTGACATTCCCAGCCAATACTCCATTAGTGGCTGCTGTGGCTTTGTGTCAGAATAGATTACTTCCATCTGATCTTGACTGCTTCTTATATTCGTCTCAAGATGCTCCTCTCCATAAGCTTCTGAAAATGCTCCTTCCTAAGGACAGGATGGGATTTGCTTCAGAGCCAAGTAATGCCATTCAATCTCCTAAAAATTGCTGTTCAGCATAAATGCACATCTTTCCCTTCCTCCCTCTTAGGTGCTCATAGCTCTCAATCCTGGCCTGACTGGGGAGGTGAGATCCGGTTCTGAACTAGGGTTTCTTGCAGGGCACTGAAGCCCCATTTCTAGAAGATCGCCATTGTTTCTTCTGTTTCCATCTCCAGGCAAATGGCATTGCGGGAAGTCTATGCCCATGCAGTGCTTGGACACCATCCCCATGTTGTGCGCTACTACTCTGCTTGGGCAGAGGATGATCACATGATCATTCAGAATGAACACTGCAATGGTAAGAACCTCAGCCTTGTTAAGAGCATAAATGTCAGGGTGACATCTGGTTCCTTGTGGTGCTTAAACCTATGGAGCTCCATCTTACAATGGAGATCAACTTCAGTTGGGTTTAAGGTCAGTTTCTAAACTAGAGCATTTGGGTTAAACCTAAATGCTAACTTTAATGCTTTGCCTTGAGCCAGGAAGGTAACGGCTAGCCCATGTGATGGGGAATGCTATAATGACAATGGGTATAGGGGCAGCTTTAAATAAACTTTAAATGCAGGGTGGGGTACCCATAGCTCACGCATGGTATGCACTCATCATTAGGAATTTTTAAAGTTTCCCCTCATTGCTGTGGTACAACTGATCTGGGGAATGCATTCCTGATGCCATTGCTGTTTGGGAGTCTGCCACAGAGCTGTACGCCATCAAGCCTCAAGTACTGGAGTAACAGCAGTTTAAAAGGAGCTAATCTGGTACATGAGTGGAACATACCTGGAAAGCAAATTCTCTTGCTCTGACTTAGCTGTGTGAATAGTGCAGTGCCTCAGAGGCAGAACCATAGTGAGGGGGAAAACTCCCAAACAGCCTGCTCCTGACCTCATTCCAGTTGGCAGGAATTAGTAGGTGGCGGGCAAGTCCACATCTGGACACTTGGAAGCACTATTGCAAACATCTGGCTCAGTTTAATAGCTTGTGAGGTCTGGGTGTGCGATGTTTTTCTTTTGTTTTTGTTTTTTGCTTTGGAGTTGTGAGTTAAAATTTAGGTTGCAGTAACAAATGACTCTTGATAGTCACCACTGTAACTCAGCACAACTTTCACAGTTTACGAAGACACCCATGACTAGAGTTGTGGGGGTGCAGTTGCATAGGGTTAAAGATTAGGCAGAAGAGCATTTTGTGCAATACCTGATGCATTGAGTGTATCTAAATGAAGAGCAATAAAACAGCTCTGTTATGAGAGTCTTGCCACCTACATTTCTTTAAATCACTGATTTCTGTATCGTAGACTTCCTTGCTCCCCGATCTGCCACTCTTAATAGCTTTAGGTCCCTTCCTGGCAAATAGAAAGTCAGTCTAGAGAGCTGGAGAAACCACCATCCTATGCAATGGCAAGTGTAATGCCAGATGGGTTGTACGGTGCGTAAATCTTTCCTAAACATTGTATGGCTATTCTGACCAAGGTTTGCCACCCTTTGTGTAGTTCTTTAGTACTTAGCAGTAATGGGTATCCAGAGTCCAGCAGAAAATGAGTTCAAGCATCTCACTTCACTAGGAAAAATACCTGCATCAAAAGTTGACTATTTCTCTTAGGTGGGAGCCTTCAAGATGCGCTGTTGGAAAATGCTAAGACTGGGCGCTATTTCCAAGAAGCAGAGTTAAAGGAGATCCTGCTGCAAGTTTCCATGGGGCTAAAGTACATACACAGCTCTGGCCTGGCACACATGGACATCAAACCTAGTAAGTACAGCTCTTTCCTTGTCTGGTCCCTCTCCCCTCATGCTGCCTGTGTCCAGTAATCTGTGTGGTGGTAGGTTGGAAGGTATCTTTCTTCCTACTCCTCATGGAGTCTAGATCTGCAGTTGAAAGGAAAAGTTGTTGTTGTTGTTGTTGTTCTCCATCTTCCTCTTCTCTCCCACCCCACTTCCCCAGAAATGTTTACTGATCATTCTGGATCTGGACAGGGAGCACTGCTATGCTCTGTGTAACTGTAAGAAGAGCATTCAGGTACAGTTATAACACTCCCTCTTCCTGTTTCTTGTGCATGGTATGAACAGAAGAAATGCAATAGTACAGCAGTTGCTCTAAAGAGCTCCACTACTATGCGAAGAGGCTTTTTAGTGGCAATATTCAAAATGCACTCTAAGATGACTGGGTTCCATGCACACACCATGCTTTTTCAAGCAACAAATGTGTACCTATAGTAAAGTAAAAGAACATTCTTTGCGGACTACAGAGCCACATACTTACAGTTCCTCTCCTAGAGGAGGAACTCCCAAGCACAGTTAGATATTAGTGGAAACTCAAATAAGCATAGAAAGGACACTGTTTAGAGAGGTGCTCCAGGGCTCCTCCCTGTGCTATCAATGCCAATCTCTAAATTTAATGGGTTAACTACCAAAGTAGGATCCACTAAATCTCTATCTGTTGTATACTCTACAAGATTATAATATAACTCAAAACTGAACCAATATTAAAATGGTACAAAGCAGAGTTTCATAACTGACAGCCAACTGTACAACTTTAAATGCAAAGAAATGATGATTTTTAACATCTTATTCATTAATGGGTGGGGAGGTAACTGGGAAAAACATGCTACTCAAAGTGAGAGCTAACTTAATTCAGCCAGCAAAAGTTGACTAGTGCTGTTTGCACACATTGAACTAATTTGTTTTTGAAATGTGTGTGAACAGTGCAAACTCTGAGATGGCAACAGTCTACTGGCATGTGTCCTACATGCAGACTTTGAGCATTTGTAACTTGCTTGCAAGAGGGCTGGAAAAATTGTGGGTTGACATCCTGTAGTTTTTTACTTGGGCAAAAATTCTGACAACAGGAGTTTGGCCTGTAGGAATTTGCTTTAATAAGGACTATAGGGTTGGATTGTTGGCCAGGGATTTAGTCTCCAAACAGGACTCTACATACAAAGTCTCATAAATCAGGGATGTGAGGTTATCCTCCCTAACCCAATAAGCATAGTGAGTCTCACTGGGGAAAACTATTTTGCCATGTGCCACTCAAATTGAACGTTGTTCCAGATTCAAACAAACCCACAACTGGACAGGGGGAAGGAAAATTGAGACCAAATGAGAACTTTTAAACTCCAAAGAAGTGAAATGAGTAGCTTGGGGCTTCTCTTGCTGAGCTCCTACAGCTTCCATTGACTACTAGGAATTGTAGGCAATCAGAATTTCTAAATTCAGGCCCTTGATACTCATCACTGCAGTAACGTTCAGTACCTTAACTAGAAGAAGCAAATCTCTAGTTAAGCAAACATCTCATGTCTGTCTCAAATTTTGCTATTGCACTGAAAAATGTAGTTGTGAAACCTTCTCCTTTACAGTTGGAAATCATGATCCAGGGTTTTTCTTCCTTTCTCTTTCCCTCTTTATGACCCTGGCTGACATAGAAGTGTTCAGTTTCAGATTGGTGACCAAGCAGGTCCGCTCAAAGGGGGAAGGACTTCCTTGTTCCTTATCTGGCTATTCCCTTGTTGCTCAATATAGTACTCCAACTCAAGTGTCCTGCACCATGGCGGTGAGGTTGTAGGAAACAATGTCCATTTCCTTTGTCTACCTTGAAGATCCAGATTCACTTTACTATGAAATATTCCAATATAATAAATGTAAGATTAAGACACTGGGGTGTATGGATTGTGGTGGGGGTGTGGGGTTTTTTTTGGGGGGGGGAGGGGAGATGTACTTGGAGCAGTAATCAGGTGAGTAGAAGCCACTTGTACTACTCTCTATGGGAGGGGAACTGATCTACTTCAAGAAACTCCAGATCTGTTGACCATTAGGATACCTGCAAGAGCATTCCATTATGAATAGCCAGGGTTCAACTACATATAAGCCTCTTTTCTTCTAGGTAACATCTTCATCTGTCACAAGCTGGTGACTGATGGCTCCGCTGCTCAGGAAGAGAGCGACAGTGAAGATGACGGGTTCTCTTCCAATGTGGCATATAAAATTGGTAGGTTTAATCTGACTCATGGACTGTTTAGTGACTTCTTTCTAAAGCTGCTCTTAAATACTATGCTATAGCCATAGGGATACTATGTCCCTCAGTCATGACCTGCAAAACTCAGTCCTGGAGGCATAGAGCGCAGAGAGAGACTTGGTGAAATGTATCCGTCTTCATAGATCTGAGGGCTGTGGTGAATCCAGCCAAGTTATTTTCACTTTGGATTAAAATCCAGACTTCAGGTGCCTGGGGTTGAGGGAGGAGCTGGCTCACTAGCTCTCTGATTCCACCTGTTCTTTTGGCCTCTCGGAGCTCCTTTAAGATGCACACATAGTGGGACTTCTCCCGCAGATCTGTGGGTGTCTGTTGGATTTCTAGTTAGTTTCTTCTCCTGTTAGGTGACCTGGGCCATGTGACATCAATAACTAATCCCCAAGTGGAGGAGGGAGACAGTCGTTTTCTGGCCAATGAGATTCTGCAAGAGGTACAACTGCCCCTTTCATTTGGGGGAGGATAGGGCGTGTATGTGTGAAACGGGAGGGTTGGCAGTGGAATATTGTATCTTCTTTATTAACCTGGCTTATATATTTCCTTCCTGGTCCTCAGCTTGGTTGAATTCTGAGGCAGGAACCCCTCCTTGTTTCTGTAAAACACAATTGTATGGTGATATGTAAATATTTAAATATACTTGACAATTGGGTCTCTGATAGTCTCTGTAACCACATTACATCTCAGTTTATGGGATGGGAAGGAAAAGATCATCTCAAATGCGGACGGTCCTGGTGGGTAGAAACCCGACTACTGAATTGGAGCTATAATTACATTTAAAGCATCTTTATATGCTAGGGTCATTAACACCTGGACAGATATTTGTACAATAGGTATGATTTCCCTTTCTTCCCTACATGGGGGTCTCCTACCTAAATCCCCTGTATTAGACTAACCTTAGCTTTGCCACTCTGGCATAAACCAAAATAAAGGCCACCACCCTGTCACAAAGGCAAAATGTTAGTGGCCACGGACAGGAGGATGTGGCCCAGAAGCTTCCCAAATGGAAATCTCCTTTGTGGTAAAATGTATTTAGTGTCCAAATCCAATCCATCACATTCCAGCCTTGCATCAAATAGATGGACAGGCGAGGTAATCTAGCAGTAGCCTGACTTGCTACCATGTTGTAAAGGTCAGAGGCATAGATTAGCTAATTTAAGGAGTCCTTCCATCTTGCTGTTGCCTTTCCGGATGTGGGATAGAAGTTCCTC